CCCCCCTCCCCTTTGTGTTTTAACCCCCGCCCCCCTCCCCTTCCTATATCAAGGCTAGAAGCGGTAGGCAAGGGCGACTGCGAGGCCGCAGCGCTCTTAAAGGCTCTCGGTCCCCTGGTGCCCATTTTCCCGGTCCCCAAGGTTGAGATGCCATCGTAACAGATGAACGAGAACAATTTTTTGGTGGACTTAAAAAGCCCCATTTCACCCCCCACCCCCCCAGCTATTTCCAAAGGCCCTTTCCCCGGGCGAGAGGCAACGGAGGGCACGGACCTGCCACAGAATGAGCCGCCGCCAAACCAAGTTTAGCGGCATCTTATTATTCGCGTTCCTGCCAGATCCTCTCCGGCCCAAAATAGAAGCCGGAGGTTCTCCGTGACCTACATCTGTGCGGGAAAGGGCTCCCCTGGGCGCAGAGGCTGGGTGCGGGTGGTTGCCGGAGTTGGCCGCTGTACACCCCCATCCCCCCACCCTTTCTGGTTTGCTCTTGGCCTCCTCTACTGGGTCTCCGAGTTGGCCAGCGCCTAGTCTCTTAGGATCTTTCTCGTACTCGCCCTTCGCGGCTTGTCGGGGAGGCCCAGACACCAGGCGGGCAGCGGGGCGGTCCTTTTCCGAGACCAGGTGTGCGTGGTCAGCGGAGACGCATCGGCTTCCCGGTGCTCCGGGTGGCTGCGGCCCCGCTGGGCGACCCTTCACCCGCACAAGGAGGATTGGGAGAGCCGCCTCGCGGGGTGGGAATTTCATTTGGATGTAGTCCCCGCCCCCCTCTCCTTACTCGACCTCGACCCCTGTCCGGGGAAGAATAGGCAGTTCTCCGTGGGAGACCTTTTAGTAGGAAGAAAAAGCAGAGAGAGCCCATTTTTGGGGGTCCTCGCAGAGCCTAGGACGCACTGGTACTGAGCACTCCTTCTGCCCCGGGCTGTCCCTGCAGGTCGGAGGATGAGGCGTACGATGAGGACGGAAACCAGCTGCAAAACTTCTATGACTCGGAGCCGCCCCGCATAGACAGATCCGCCTCTGTGCACCGCGAAGCCCACGCGCTCAACCACCCGGGGGAGATAAGGTACTGACCGTGCGGCCTCCGCACCCGGGACTGAGGTTGTGGGAGGGGCAGGTGTTGGCCCACCTCGTAGGTTCTTTTTCATAAAAGTCCTCCAGGCTGTCTTCTCCCAGGTTCCTATGACAGCGACAGAAAGTTAGTCGCGAAAGGTCTGTGGTCAAGGGGTGGCAGTGAATGCGCGCCCGGGCGGCCGGTGAGGAGCCCAGACTCCACACCTGCCACCTGGGAGGGCAAGAGGAACTCCCGCTCCTGGCAGCCACTCATGGGAACGTCCCAAGAAAGTTATTCGGGAGTTCTGGGGTTTCCCGGCAGCTTCCCGGAGCGCCGAGAGGCGAGGGTGCCCCGTGGGGGGTGGCGGATGGGGGAGCTGGGCAGCTACTGGGGGACAGAGGCGGTGACCCTGGGCGCGCACTTTGCCTCCCCTTTAGAGATGTGGCCCACGCGATCCTTCACAAGGCCTACCGCAAAGTGCTGGACCAGCTGTCCCGCAAGAAATTACTGCAGAAGCTCGTGGCCAAGGGCGTGGGGTAAGAGTTTGTGAAAGAGTTAATGGGCGCGAGGTGGCGCGCGCGCGCCGAGGTGGGCGTCGGTTTGGAGCGCGGGCGCGGGGTGGGCGGTGCGGTGCCTACGTTCTGCGTGCACGTGGGGCTGAGGGCGAGTCTGTGCCGCGGGATCTGCAGGGTCTGCGGGGCCAGCCCCCAGCCACCTGCGACGATTACTAGGCGGTACCTGAAGTTTGGCGAGAGAGCTCGGGGATCCAGCTGAGAAAAGTATGGGCAGGGAAACCGGAGGGTTTGATCCGTTTTGAATTGAAAAAAGAGAAACCAAATAGTCCCCTCAGTCATTCAAAACCTTCAAGCTTCGCGGGACGATGTGCTATAATTTCCTCTAAATTTGCCTTAAAAGATTATTTTATTGTAAATTCAAATTGAAACCAACAGACCCTCAACTTTGGACACCTAGGGAAACCGTTTTTTTGCTTGTGCTAGACCTACCCAGAGCACAGGGCTGTGTGGAGCATCTCTCAGCAGAAGGCAGCATTTTAATAAAGCCCGTGGGGAAACAGATTACATTTTTCGTAATAAATAATTCATGTGATGAAAAATATTGCCTACAGTCTGTCGACTTGTATTATTATCACGTTTTTACAACTTAGCGTGTGGAAGGGGAGTGCTTGTGTCTGACTCGAGAGCAATAACAGGATTGATGTAAACTCCAGGGCAGTAGCCGACGTGGCATTTAGGGCTCTTTTGTTATTTTCTATTAGGACAATTCAGCGCAATCGCATGGACGGGATGGTCATATCGCACGGACAGAGGTTAGGCTTAAATTGTGTGCATTTGGCCGGGCCCTCCTAAGGGGCCCCTTTCCTAAGAGCATGGCACCAGGAAATCCTGGGCGGGGAGGGAGAATGAGAGGTTTCTGTCTCAGCTCTCCTCCAGCTCCTACTGGCAGGGGAAGGCCAGGCAGAGGGTGGTAAGACCCCGTGCCCATGCCCGTTCTGCAGGCTCCCTCGTGGGGTGGGGCCCGCCTGCTCCTTGCAGCTATTGAACCTGTGTCTCCCGCCCTGCCACCCTTCCCCCGACCCCTATCCTTGCAGTGGCATTCGAAGCGATAACGCAAAAGATGACTCGGATCCGCTCTCCAAGCGCCACTCAGACGGAATCTTCACGGACAGCTACAGCCGCTACAGGAAACAAATGGCTGTCAAGAAATACTTGGCTGCTGTCCTAGGGAAAAGGTATAAACAAAGAGTTAAAAACAAAGGACGCCGAATAGCGTATTTGTAGCGATGAGTTACCAGCTACCTTGTGTATACAACCCTGACACAATGAAAAGTCATTTTCCTTACAAACTGGAACAGTCATCGCTCATGTGTTCTATCCAAACATTTATTTATGTATGAAGTAAAGCCATTAAATGAATATTTTGATAATAATATTGTTTTTCTTTTTACAAAGCACTAGAGAATGCACAGATATACTTTGTGGACCAATTATTGATATATATTATAAATATATATATTTAAGAATATATATAAGTATAATAGAGAGCAGTTCATAAAAATGTGCACCAGGATTGAAAATTCACCTGAGCTGTTTATGTATTTATATAAAATAGATAGAAAAATAGACAATCATTGTTTTAAATATTACTCCTATTTTTGTAAACTGGAATTAAAAGGATAGTATTTTTATCCACAACAGGCCTGAAGATGTTAATACTGACCATTTGCTACTGTATATAAACAATGACGCCCTGCTTCAGGGAGATTTTGAGGTAATGGTTTGGGAGAATTGCTGTAGAGCATTCTCTCCCGGTGAGTCTCTGGGGCAGGCTGCTTCAATCCCAGCCCAACTCAACTAGGCACTATCCCCTTTGCTGGGTGACAATTCTAATACTTCTGCTTTCTTTGATTCTACTTTTATGTGTATTTGTCTCTCTTTGGACTCTCAGCCCACAAGGAGATTCTCCCGATAAAACAACAGCTCTATCTAAATTGTGCTTCTCCCCAGAATTCACACCATTCCCTGGGGCAGGAGTTGGGAGATTATACAGAGAAGGGAGACTGGAGTAAGAGCTCCCTTTTCTGTACTTCCAGGAAACCCACTATCCCAAGGTTAGGACAATTGGAACAAAGTGAAAGAAACGCAGGTATACTGGAAGAGGCAGAGCATAAGGCAGCAGGAGGAGGACCCTGGAGAGGGACTCTTTTGGGGCTGCCCCAGATCTGGGATGCTGGGGTTAAGCCGAGTCCCCACCTTAGGTCCCCAGCCTGACTGGGTGCTGGGTGTTTGAAATGGATGCAAAGTACAATGTGTTTTTCTCCAGTGCTGTCCATGCTTCTCATCTTGTGAAATGGCCAGGATCCTCCCCTTTGAACCCTGCTCTGTAAGAGCCACCCTTTTCTTTGGTGTTTTTTCCCCCTGAAGACTCTGCCTTCCTACCCTCTTGCACTGTTAAGTACTGGTTACCATTTTCATTCACTTCTCTTAAACTTGTGAATGTGTCTTACTTTTGTTGTTGTTTGATGCAAGCGCTTACTGTAAAGTTTAGGAAACCCTGTGTAGTTATCACTAAGTAATGATGCACTAAATATGAACCTTTTGTTTCTTGTTTATTGAGTTTGTAGGTAAAATGTATTTTTCTACATTATGGCTTATTGCTTAGTAAAATTTATTTCATAAACCAACCTTTGTCATAGTAGAATGTGTAGTGTTCACATGTTGCTCAGTTTTACTAACTGATAAATCATTTAAACCTCGTCTTATGTATGAGTACTATCTTATATTTGTGGCCAAGAGTAAGGCAAACAAGCTCCACCAGACCCTGAGAACTTCCCTTTGTATCCTTTCTTGGCTACAGAAAGCATGTCTGTCTGTTTCCTATCAATTTCTTGAACATATCAAGTAATCTTTATAAACAAAAGAACCTTCACCCAACAACCAGATCAAGCAACAACACGCAAAACAAACTCCCAGATTTCAGGCACAGATTCTTTTGAAAAAGAAGAAGAACAACAACAAGAAAAGATTAAACATTAGCTTGTAAAGTCTAAAGGACCTTTCCTTTTCCTTTACGGATTTGATCAGTATGAAGTCATAAATCAAAGAAAACAGAATTGAATTTGCATTCCCAGGCGGGATGGATGCTGCCAGGAGATCACATTGCAGACAGTGAAAGCACAGAGGCTTTCGATCTATGCCTGAGTCCTGTGTATGGGATCAATCTTTCTTTAATTCTGCAGTCTCCTCAGGCAATGTGACCTGGGACGCAGTTTGCAGCTGTAGTGCCTTTCTTTGCCTTTTAAATCGCCACGAATCACAGATGGCTATTTAGTGGCCCTACAATGCTGCAACACATCGGCTTGCATTTTAGTCTTAATTATTTGTTTCTTGGATAATGGGCAGAATTTTCTGTATTTGTGTCAGCTGTTAGTGGTGAAATAGGGCTCTAGTTAACCTTTTATTTATGAAGTCTAATTTAGTGTTTCTGTGGCTAGTTGCAAGCATTTACAGTGATCATCCAGTTTAATCTTTTGTATACTTTTTAGAAATGCCAAGAGCCTTACTAACCTAAAGCAGATTTATGATATAGTGATAATTTAGGTAGATGTTAGTCTTGAAGCTCTTATTTTGTGTGCAAATGATTATAAAAACATCTTAACCAAGTATTACACACATGATATCTATAATTAGGTCTTTGATAACTGTTATATGAAGTGTGTGAAATTTGTATGAATAAATTTTTGTAAACAATGCAACTTCGTCTAATGTTTGGAGAAAAAAGACATCAGGAAATAACTACTTTAAAATCTCTTAAAGTATTATATTTCCTTTACCAACCATAAGAATTTTAATGTCTGGGATATATACTTATTTAAGCATCTATGTATTTTCATAAATGTGCTTTAATATCTGCTTGATGGGTTATGGATTCAACTAAAAATATGAAGTAGCTACTCAGAGAAGAATACCTGAGGAGATATTAAGCTTATAAATGGGCACGAATATTGGGACATTTATAGGATGTACAATTTAGATGGATTTTTATCCCCTAATGTTTATATACATTGTTCAGTATTTAAGAAAGTTACTATCCAGTGGTGGGAGAGAGTACCTGCGTATTAGTTATGCTTCTAAAATATCAGCCTAACATTGTTTTCTTGCAAGTCACTCTGCAGACTAAATTGGACTCTCTAAAGTTCTGTATAAAGATGATTTAAATAATTAATTTTGGAGGTTTTAACATATGTTTAGAGACCTATAGACAACTATCTCTGATTAAAATGCTTTGGACAGAAGGAAAAAAAACCATAAGTAAGCAAAGAGTTAGGTAAATACCTTTAAAAGAAAATGTACTTTGAAGCCTAGGACAAAATATGAAAAGTCATTTGTGAATTATTTGTTTTATTAATTTATATTAGCAGCCTTTAAAGCAAAGCCTTCATATGAAATTTTTATAAATTTCTCAGAGGTGTTTATTTTTGAAGCCTTTGATGATATCTGGGTTAAAAACTTTTGTATTGAAAGTCACATAATTAGTCATATTATTTAATTTAAGTAGCCAGATTTTTATTTTAAATTAATGCAGTAAATTAATAAGTCAGTAAATATGTCACAATAACACTAAAGGACCAGCAAAAATCAAAAGAGCAGCAAGAATCAAAAAACTATCTACAGAACTTAGCTCAGTATTTAAGGCCCAGAATCATATAGGGAGGAACTTATGATCTAGAAATCCCATTTGCAGTAAATTAAAAGAAATGGATACTGTATAATTCATATTTACATTGGGTTTTATGAGATATGGCATTTTTTGTCATCTTTAAATACCCTCCCCCACCCCCACTCCATGGAGACATACTATATATAGTGCCCTAGTGTGGTAAATGGAAAAAAATGAAGAAAGATAAGTGTTTTGATTGGGGCTAATGACTTGTCCAGAAAGTAGAGAAAAGCCCCAGATTTGTCTGACTTCAAGTCAAGCTCATGTATATAGCAACTGGCTATTCTGTTATATAGGATAACTCAAAAAAATTGCTTTTCATTGGAAGGCTTGATATATTTAGGTGTCCAAGAAGTTATAATATGGGCTTTAAAGCTGTAAAGGCTGAGAATACATTGATTTAATACAATACAATTTATTTGACACCTAAAAGGGGCGAGGCATGCTGGTTGAGAGAGCTTAACAGCTGGGAGTTAAGGTAGTACTTTTCCAAAGAATATAAATATTTTTTTTTACCTGAGGGACTTGTTAATAATGCAGATTTTAGGGCTCTAACAGAAACAGTGAATCTGTATTATAACGAAAAGTTCTAGATTAATAGGCACTGAAGTTTGAGATCACATAGATTTAGAATTTGGTGACATGTAGGCACCTATGTGTGCAGGGGCTGAGTGTTTTTCCCCCACATTAAATAGGTAACAGGTCATGCTGCTTGCACAAAGTAATAAATACATCAATGAGCCATATTCTCCTGGGATGGACATTAGGTTCTTTGAAAATTGCAATATTTCCTTTAGACCACAAAGGCCATAGTTAGCATTATTTTACTTATATGTTCTGGTTGGATCTGTCTGTTAAAGAGGAAGGAGAGTGATCCTATAAGTAATGTTGAGGAAATTCAGTCACATGACTGAGAGACTATTGAAATAATAGAGAGAAACTGTGCAGCTAGCTGGCAGTACTTCTTCAGATCCAGAAGTCTACTTCCAATTGCATTATATCCAAATTTGGCTTGAGTGCATTCCCCTCCCCCCACAACTATTTATAAGTTGATTTCACTTGGTGCCCCACTATGACCTTAAACTCAGCCCTACTGTTCACAGAGTTACAAATTGGAAACCAAAATCAAATCTGAACTCTTCTCTTTCATTGTAACCCTTTGAAGAAGGTAGATGCTCATTCCTCTTGCTGGTGCCCATGGTTTCACTGGCTTCCTACCTTGGTTTGTAACTGGTGGTTCTCCCTTCAACTGGCAGTTTTAATTCCTTCTTATCATGTTCCTCTCATGCAATGTTCCAGGGGAGCCTCTACTGTCACAGGGATCAAAGGTCTTCATACTCTGGATCCACTGTGTAGCCAGTCTTACCTCCTACTACTCCCCAACATGGATCCTCCTTCTTCAGAAGGAGAGGTTCTTATCAATCTTTGAAACTCAAATGCTTCTTTTCATCTTTGGTTGGTCAACAATTCTTGCATGCCCAGAATGTCCTTTTTCTACCTATCAACCTAAACATTTCGTAAGGTCCAACTCAAGCCCTCCTTTTCTAGGGATCCTCCTCGCTTCCCAGAGTGACCATATCTTCATTCCCCAGCACCATCCTCGCACTCTTTTCCTGTGACCTTTACTCTCCATAGTACTTCTTGTGATCTTAATTCCACACTGCTCTGCCCTGTTCCTTAACTATTTTGAAAGAGTATGGCTCATTTCCCCAGTCTGACAACCTCCTGAAGGGCATAGATGATACACACACTTCTGAGAACATAATAAATATCTCTTTTGAGTGATTGAAATAATGAGAGGACTTGCAGAATTCACTATGACATTTCTCCCTTATTCTAATAGGACAACTACAAAGCATATATAGGGAGTGAATTTAACTTAGGTATTCATCATGTATCAAACTAGAACTCCCCCCAACAAAAGCTACATAGAAAACAATGCCAAATTAATTAGGTGTGTTTCTGCCATAAGAAAAAATGAACTATAAATTCACATAGAGGCAAAAGGCTGCAACAGACTCAAGCCACTAGGCCTTTATTTTTTCACTAGAGGCCTGGTGCACGAAATTTGTGCACGGGTGCGGTCCCTAGGCCTGGCTGGTGATCGAAGTGCGAGCTGACCTCTGGGCCCTGGGCAGCACGTGGGCCCCTGGACCCCCACGCACCCCCCTCCACCTGAGAAACGGAGCCTGAGTCCCCACGCAGAGATGAGGTGAGCGCAGCCGGACACTGCAGGCTGGGGTGCAGTGCGGGCCTCTGGGCTTCCCAGCGGCACCACACAGAATCCAGGCGAGCAGTGTACTCTCTCCCAGCCAGCCTTGCAGACCGGCTCCTGCACAAACCCATGGGGAGCCCAACCAGCCCCTGTGGTCCTGGCGGCTGCGACCTGGCTCACGCAGCGTAAGTGCGGAGCAGGCTCCTCGCAGGTGCCTGGCACCTGAGTGTGGGAGCTTCCCTGGCCCGTGAGCCCTGGCGTCCCGAGGGAGGGTAACAGGGGGAGTGAGAGCGAGCTTGGCAGACACCCCGCATTCTCACTGCACCATCCCCCGTCACCCTCACCTCCAGGTAGCTAGCGAGAGGTCGTAGCCTCCTGCCTGGGTGCCATGGGAGGTTGGTCGCCGCCACCCACCCCCAGTTCCCCGTCCCAGCCTGGCCCCTGGTTGCCATCTGTGGGGTGATCAGTCAGGGCCAGGTCCCCTGCCCGGCTCCCTCAGCACCTGGGAGCAAGGCAGCAGCCTCCCCCGCCTCCCCACCGTTGCCGCTGGTGGCCATCTGTGGGGTGATGGGGGGGGGGGAGAGGTGGGTGTATCAGGCCCTGCTCACACTCACCTTGGCCTGGCGCTGCCCACTCACCTGCTCCACCATTCCTTCATGGTCCTGCTCTCATTGGGGCCCATCAGGGCCAGCAGCACCTCCACTGCTGCCTGCTGCTAGCGCTGTGTTGCTGACACCCGCCTTGTTCTGCCCCGCCTCCTGGTGATCAGTGCACGTTATAGCGAGCAGTTGAACTCCTGGTGGAGGGGACAATTTGCATATTAGGCTTTTATTATATAGGATTCTGATAAAGAAGAATTGTATTTTCAAACTAAAGAGAATTCACCTTATTTCTCAAGACAGTAATACCTTTTTTTAGAATAAAGGAAAAAGGTTTTCTTGAGATGCAGACTGGGAACTGGACTGCTCTCAAAGTGATAATTTACAGAGCAGTTATCTGCAGCTGCCAAAGAAACTTCTCCCATCAACAGAAATGTAATTTGAAACATGAGTTCATAGACAGGAAAACGGACAGGAAAACGGATATAATGAAAAATATTTCTTAACAGTGGAATATTCTATGTAGGTGATATCATTTTCTTCTTAGCTATATCTTTGATATATATTACAGAATCCTAATTCAGGGGGGAATACTACCTATAAACCTAAAAGAAAATAGACAGTATGATGTGTATCTGTGCACATTTCCCCTTCTCTTGTTCACTATCCTGATTTTTGCTGTCTTGGCCACATGTCTCTCATGCAGGACATGGCTTTTATGAGACACTAACTCCACTTCTAGCTATAACTTATCAGGATAATTGCACTCCATGACCACAGTTCAGGACTTAACATGTGACCCATTTTAAGATAGTTGGATTAGAGAAGATTTTTTTTCCTTGACGTTTCTGGTAAAGAAGTTACTTCTTTCCTTCTGAATGTATAATGCAACACACCATATACTAGTAAGAAGGCAGCCTTGTAGTGGAACTGACACCATAAGAGACAGACAGGATGAATAGGAAGGAACATGTCCTTGGCAACATCCCTGAGCCCTTGAATCAAACCAATCCTGAAGCCTGAACTACAGCTGGACTTCCCTATTAAATAAGCCAATAAATCCCCTTCATTGCTTAAACCAGTTTTTGTGTTTGCTGTTTGTAATATAAGTTAGGACCTGTGTTTTAA